ATCCATTTTTAAATTTTAGTGTCTATTTTTTAACAGATATATAAAAAATTATACATTTATAGGTGTCATGTGCTGTTTCAATACATCTAAACTTTGTGTAATGATTGAATCAGGATAGATATCTCTTCAAACATTTATTGTGCTTATTAAAGTTAAAAATATTCAAAATACTTAACACTCTAATTTTGAAATATACAGTATAGTTTAGTGATCTGTGTTCAGCCTATGCAGAATAGAACACCAAGATGTCTTACTCTCATCTAATTACAACTTGTGCTTCTGCCTAAACCTCTCTTCATGTCCCTCCACACCTCCAGTCTCTGGTACCACCACGCTGCTCTCAAATTCAGTAAGATCAACCTTCTTAGCTTCCACGCATGGTACTTGTTTTTCTCTGCCTGGTTTATCTCACTTAACATAATGGTTTAATGATTAATAGTTCATCAGTGTGGTCATAAATAACTGGATTTAGTTATTTTATAAGCTGGATTTTATTACATCATGCATACATTTTATTACATAATACATTCATTACACATTCATCAATTTATAGACACATAGTTTCCATTTCTTGGCCAGTGTAAGTGGCCCTGCTAGGTATTGGGGAAGGCAAGTGATTTTTGACAGCCTGATTTTATTTTCTTTAGACATATACCCAGGAGTATGACTGCTAGATGACATAATAATTCTGTTTTGTTTTGCTTTGTTTTTGGTAACTGCAAATTTGAATATGGTTTCCCATAATGGCTATACTAATTTACATCCCTTCAAAAAACATGAAAAGTTTACATTTTCCCCACTTTTGGGGGAGTGGTATCAGAGATCAAACTCAGGACCTTGAGCTTGTCAGACAAGCCTGGTGCCACTGAGCTACATGACAGCCCTCTCAGAGGGGAAAGGCCCATTTCACAGCCACCTGTGCAAAGATAATGGTCCATTCTACAGGGCAAAAGAATGATTTAGAAGCGAAAAACATAGACCTCTAATTTACAAACTTTTTATCTTTAAAACTCTAAGCAAATTTTTAGTGACTTTTCTGGAATGGAAAAAACATTAGAAAGTTGAATGACTGTCATTTTCCTTAAATGTAATATTCTAAAATTAGGAGTATTCTTATGTTCTTTCTACCCATCTTTTTTTTCCCCTCTTTGTCCCCACTAACACTTTGATCTTTTGTTCTTACAAACTGGGTAATCTACTTCCCTTCACTTAGTTTCAGTCTCCTGAAAAGTCTCAGGATTTGGGAAAAATGTAGGCAAATTTACTGCCAGGACCTAAAGCACCCAGCATCAAGTCCAGTGCTAATTTCTTTGGGATTTCAATATTCTGAGCTCTGGCCAAACATCCCTATCAAGCCTGGCTACCAGCGTTCGGGGACTTCTCTGGACAGCGTGTCCAAACCTCTCCAAACTCCATCAGAAGCCACTTGCAAAGGGTTCTGCACTACATGGTCAGGGATTATCATGAGAGTAACCTTGCTCTGAATATCAAAATTATCTTTATTCCCTTTCTTTGTCACTGAACCTAAGTAACTGGCATTTGCAACTAAAATGAGCACAGGCTTACTTTAACTCATGGTCAGTTAATTGCATGGCAGAAACAGGATGCGCACTGGGGACAAAGTGTAGGAAACCTGATCACATCGGGACAGTCTGGCAGCAGAAAGATAAAAGAGGATCTCAGAGACAGATAAATGTTTCTAGTTTGTGTTCCCAGTAAACCTCCTCTTCTAAGCATGCCCACGTCCTGACAGCACATTCAGTTATAGATTCATGTGTGGTTTAACTCACTGGTTAGTCTAGTGTCCTATGATCCGGTCCCATTTTGAGAGAGCCTCATCTCTGAACGCATGAATCATTGGGGGAACATCCTACATCACAACCATAGCGATATATGTTAAACCACAGAAGAACCCCCCAATGTCCTTCCATGCCAAGTATCCAAAGCAATGGACACTGCAACATGACTTTTAACAAAAATAAATATTATCCAGATTAGCTAATAACCTAGGAAAAATGTCTGTTAGTAACCTCAAAGACATTTTAACTTTTATTTTTCTACCATTTTTAAAAACTCATTCATTAAACCATGTAAAAAAATCATTTATATAGCATCCACTTAATTATAAGCCACCTTAAATAAAAGTTTCGAAGGATAACATGTAACCAAACACAAAAAGATCCAACCAAGCACATAAGATGTATATATTATGTAAGATCAGATAAAACCTTTATGCTATCAAATTTTAAGATGCTTATAAGCAATGGACTGGGGATTTAGCTCAGTGGTTCCACCACCTGCCTCAAAAGTGCAAGGTCCTGAGTTCAATCCCCAGCACCAAAAAACAAAAACAAAAAGAAAAAAACAAAGATTCTTATATGCAAGTTTTATGTAAGCCTTGATCCTAGGGATTGCATCCTCCTTTAGTGGTCCAAGTGCATTGAATCCCCTTTCAGTATTTGTGTGATTGTTTTCTGTTCTTGTTGCTGTTCTTAGTTTTGATTTGTTTTTGTTTCGAAAATGGAACAAGAATTTGTAAGTAGGAAAAAAACCTAATATAAGCTCAAAAATGTTAAAAATAAAGAAGGTGTAGGTACTTTAACCAATTGTTATGAAAATAGATTATCAGGCAGAGGGACAAAAAAGCAGGACACATACAGCAAATGCATTGAAGGACAGTGCCCTCTCCTGGGTCAGGAGATCCTTATAATTGTTTAGAATTCTTCCTAGAGGGTACTAAGTCACACTTTTTATTTTTCAGTAAATAATGGGGTATTTTTATAGTATTCTGATAACTGTAACACTGCAGGATTAAACCAAGGAAGAGTCAGAAGAGGGACAAAGAGGAGTTGTAAATCGGTAGATCGGATCCTTGTCCAATTTTCACCTTGTTATAAAACCTAATATGAGGCAATGCCTTTTTAATCTTTTATCTGCATTCAAGGAATTGCTCAGATGATTAACATGTAATATGTAACAATTCCCTGATGTGACTGTTTTGATCATGTATTACAAAAATATAGTAAATGAGAAAAAAGGAAACAGAGAAACATCCACCTTTCTTTCAAATCCTCTATTTTAAAACAGTGTCGGTTTTGTAAAATTGGCTCCTTTAGGGATAGATGCATAGTAAGCCCAAATTTTTTAGATACACGTATTTTTAAAATATTTCATTTGTTCTTCTAAAAAGCAATAAGGAAAGAACATACAAGAAAAGATCCCTTTACATCCTCTAAAGTTCTGCCATGCTGACCCCGCTGAGGAGTTCTGTGGGCTCATTTTCCTGGTATTCAAAAGCGTTCACTAGCTGCATATTGGACATTATTAGTGCATTTTTTCCTATTCTCATTACAGTTCTGGAGGCATCTCTGTTTATGGTAATTAAAAATCTCATTGGTTATATAGGCCTGAGGCTGAACTAAGTGCAAGTGAGAAAATCATAGTTGAGGGTGGGAGCAAGGTGCCAGTGGAGGAAGTAGAGGAAGGACCCAGCAAGATGGTAGAAGGATGGACTGAACCATAGCAATGAGTCAAAATACATCTTCCTTTGTAGGTAGCTCTATCTCCGGCACTTTGTGATAAATAGCCAATTAATGTAAGCTCATTTGCGCATTTCCTATGTGATAGGTCTGGTTGAGAGATAGTTCCTCAGCTTTTTCTGGTTTGAGAATTCTTTATCTCTCCTGAACAGCTGGATATAGTAGTCTCGGTTGACTCTGCTTTCTTTTAGTCCTGTGAAAAATCTCATGCCGCTGTCCTCTGGCATGTGTCTCTACACGTTATGAGGGCTTTTTCTAAGGCTTCCTTTATGGATACTGGACAGGGTACAGGAGCAATGCAAATCCACCCTTTGTTAGATATTTTCAACATAGTGCTAAATTCAAAAGCACTGTGAAGAGTCCCTTGGATGCCAATGCTGGGGCTAATTGGGGTAACAACAGGTATTAATGATTGCAAAGATCTTCAGAGTGTTAGGACTGCACTCAGATCCATACAACACCAAGGGTAATACAGAATGAAACAGTGCTATCTTTCTGGACCACAGATCTTCTCTTTGTATCAGGGCAGGTCTAGCTGCATTTCTATCCTTCGGACAATGATTACAGATGAAGTTTCTAGAGGTTTGCAGTATGCTTTTCCAGAAAAGGTCTTAACATGTATTCTTGGGACCACATATACAGGTGGTTCTTTCCCCCACATTCACTGATTGGACATGTGCTTTGATTGAATGAGTGACATATTGGCACATAGGAAGTAAATAGAGGCTTGAAAAATGCTGGCTCATCTTTTACTTTTCTCAAAGTTTTAGTAAACAGGGAGGGGTGGAGGGGTTGATGGAAGGGTAGGAGAATGTGGGAAAAAAAAAGAATCAATGCAGGCGTTGTGGCGCCCG